ATTCCTGCTTGGAATCCTCCCAAACCTTCCCCTCAATAGGCCGTAGGATGAAAGTCAAATCCCACCCACGGCCTCCCAGGCCCCATGGGATCTGACCCCTGCTACCTGTCCCCTCTCCAATGCCCTGGCTTCCTTTGAATCCTGAAGGTGCTTTGCTCCCTTCAAACCCAAGTCCAGTGGTACCTGAGAGAGCCAGGGGCACAGTCTATGCGAATTGGGCATCCACACCTGGTAGTCGCACCTGGGCATATATATTAGAGTTCTTGTCTTTATGTAGGGTACAAGTATGAAGATGTCAATCACAGCCTTGTTTATGGTGGCAAGGAGTGAGGGACAATATTCCATGGCTTCTACCCTCTTGGATCTTTTTTTTTTCTATTTTTTGGCCACGCCACTAGGCATACGGGATCTTAGTTCCCTGACCAGAGATCGAACCTGCTCCCCCTGCAGTGGATGCTCGGTGTCTTAACCACTGGACTACCAGGGAAGTCCCTACCCTCCTGGATCTTATAGTCCAGTGGCAGAGAGAGATGTTAACCAAATAATAACTCAAATGCATGTAAAATTACAAGTGTGGTAGGAAGCAAAGTATGTGGTCTATGAAAGCTTGAAATGGCGGGGGGGACAAAGGGGGTTTTGTGTGTGTGTGTGTGTGTGTGTGTGTGTGTGTGTGTGTGTGTGTGTGTAAGTGATGTCAGGTCAGAGGAAACAGTGTGTGCAGGAGCATTTGCATTTGAGTGGGGCAATGCACCTTCAGAATGAAAAGAAGGCCAGGGGGATGGATGGGGGACAGGTAGCAGGGCTCAGACCGTGTGGAGCCTGGGAGGCCATGGGAGGGGTTTGACCTTCATCCTAAAGCCTGTTGAAGGGAAGCTATTGAAGGATTCCAAGCAGGAGTGTGACATAATCAGATTTGGGTTTTGCAAAGATACTTGGGCTGCCATGAGGTATGTGTTTTGAAGGGAGGTGAGGAGAGATGCAGGACATCAGTCGGAAGGCTTTTGCACCATCCAGGTGATGGAGGTGGGGCTCAGCAGTGGAGATGGAGGTGGCTGTGTCTTCCAGTGATATTCAAGGCACCAAGCCTAGGGCTTGGGGATGCACAGGGTGTAGGGGGTGGGGAGAAGGCAGTGTCAGGGCTGAGCCCTAGGTTTCCGGTTTGTGAAACTAGATGGATGGTGGTTTCATTCGAAGAATCCAAGCCCCAGGGGAGAACTGGCTTTGGAGGGGGGATAGTGAGCTCAGTTTTGGGCACACTGAGCCACACAGGTGGTTATCACATAAGCATTTGAATACATGGATCTTAAGTTCATCGGAGAGATCGGAGCTGCTGATGTGAATCTGTGAGTCCTCTCTGTAGTTGAGGCTGGACTTGCAAATGGCACACACAGTAGGAGGAGGAGAGAGGGGCTGGGTGAGTCCGCAGGGGGGCAGAGCTACAGTGAGCCTGAGAGGAGCAACCAGCAAAGTGGGAGGAAAACCAGGAGGGATGTTTTGTTTTCTTTTTGTAGAAGGATGGAGCAGGCGACAGGGATGACTAATGTGGAAGGAGATGAAGTGAGAAAAGAAGTGAGAACGGTTGCACTGGGTCCAGTGGCGTGGAGGTCACTGGTGGCCTTAGCAGCTGCGTTTCAGCCAGGTTATGGGATGGGAGACTGGCCGGAGGGGGCAGAGCGCCCTGTGGGAGGTGGGGAATCCCTCTAAGTCAGGCTGTGATCTCCCCTTTGCAGCTACTGTGAGGATGGCTTCATGCACTGCTCCACGAGTGGAGCCCCAGGGAGCCTGCTGCCCGACTCGGTCCTCAGCAGCCCCCTGTCCCACCGCGGTGAGTACCACCCCCAACGGGCTGTCCTCTCCCTCTGCTCAGATGGTGTGGGTGAGGGAGCTGGCTGCGTTCAGGCACGCGTTTGTGTGTGTGACTTCCAGGCCTGGATGTGCCTTTGCATGCACACATCCCAGTTGTTGAGGCAGGAAGAGTTTAATTTTGTGATGGGGAAAGACTGAATTGCCTGCAGGATGGACCAGGGAGATCTCTCTTCTGCCCATGGTGACCTTAACCCAGGGAGCAGCTGTGGGTATAGTGGTCCTTCATGGCCTCCTTTTACCGAGGGACACGGTGACCGGAACACCTCTTTAGAAAGCTTCTCTGATGGATTTGAGACTGAGGAGTTTGGACTCGGTGCCCTCAGTTTGAAGGTCCTAATAGATGCTGCGCTGTTCAAGAACAAGGCACAGGAGGGAGACCTGGTGGGACCATATTCCACGTTTGTGGATCAGAAGGACCCAACATCCTTGCTTAGAAAGGACCCTCCTGGTAGGAGGGAGCGAGATGCCTTTAGGCAGATAAATGGGCTATTTTCAACCTCCAGCTTGACCTCTTCCTACCTCTCACTTTCCTAAGGCCCCCTCTCTCCCAGTGACACAGCTCTGTGCCTGCGTTTGTTTTCCGGCTGGTCCTGGTGGGGAGTCCAAGAACAGGATGCCCGCATGGCTGGCTGAGGGCCCACCTCTGGGTCCTCGCTGTGTGCTCACCTGGTGGAAGGGGCAAGGGAACTCCGTGGGGTGTCCTCTAAGGACGCTAATCCCATTCCTGAGGGCTCCACCTTCATGACCCAATCACCTGCCCCAAACCTCACCTCTTAATAGCATCACCTTTGGGGGTTAGGATTTCCACATGTGAATTTTGGGCGGATACAAACATTCAGTCCATAGCAGACCTCAAGGTCACTCATCCCTCTGCCTCTTTCTTCTTCCTGCTCTCTCTCACTGTAACGTTTTTCCCGACACTCCACCCCTCTCTGTCACATTCTCTACCTCTCAGGTCTGAGGCTTCTCTTGCCCAGACTCTTCTAGCCTAGTGACAGGAAGGTTTTTTTTTTTCAAAGTCAGGAAACCCGTAGAATTCTGTGCCATTTGGAAAAGCCATTTAACCTCTTAGGGTTTCAGTTTCCCAACAAAATTTCCGTATAAAAACAAGGCTGGAAATTCTGACTTTCTTGTCCATAAGAGATATTAAATGCTATGTACGTATGTAAGATACAAATGCTATTCAATACATCAGGGTTTTTGAAACACAGGCGCTGTGTCAGTTATCCGCTGTCATCATTTACTCGGTCAACACAGTGATACCTGCTAATTGCCAGGAAATAGAACAGTGAACAAAGCAGACAAAACCCCCTGCCTGCATGGAGCCTGTGTTCTAGTGTGTGGGTGGGATGGGGGTGAGCAATCAACAAAGAAGGAAAATAAATGGCATTCAAATGGTGATGTCAGAGCATGGAGAATGACAAAGCAGGGAGTGTAGGAGTGTCCAGGGATGGCGTGTTACAGGTTTAAATAGAGCGGCTGGGATGGCCAGGGGCTGGGCAGAGGATGCCATGTGAGCAAAGCCCCCTTTAAAGTTGTTGTGATTAAATTAACTAATTTTAGAAATTTAAAATTAAATGTGTTGGAGCAAAGGTTCCTTTTAAGCACCCAAACCCAGGTCCTTTAAAGCCTGGCTCTGGATGTTTTTGCAGTGCATCCTGATTCAGCGCAGCAGGCAACAGCGCAGGGTCAAAGGGGGATGAGGACCACGGGCCATTAGAGGGATGCTGAGCTCCGCAGAGGCGTCTTCAGTGTAGGCAGAGGTTAGAGCTCAGATGAGTAGATGAGGCTGCCATTCCGGACCCAGCTGGAGGTCCAGCAGTGCCTTGTCCCAGGGCGTGGGCAGCCTGAGCCTCTGGGATTGAGTGACTGCACGCAGCGGGCAAAGGACAGCATAGACGGCAGATCCATTCACCCCTTCAATGATCGTCTCTTTGGTTTTCCTGACTCCAAGGCAAAAGAAGCCTGTCCTGTCGGCCCCCCATGGTCAAGCTGGTGTGTCCTGCTGACAACCCGAGGGCTGAAGGGCTGGAGTGCGCCAAAACCTGCCAGAACTACGACCTGGAGTGTGTGAGCATGGGCTGCGTATCCGGCTGCCTCTGCCCCCCGGGCATGGTAAGCCACCCAAGCCGCAGAGGGATGGAGACCTTCTGGGTTCCCGCGGGCAGGGGACAGTGAGGTGGGCTGCGGAGGCAGAGAGAGAAAGAAACAAGAACTACACAAGGACGGCACTGGGGCTGCAGACGGGGTGTAGGCGGGGGCAGGGGTGAGTCCTTGCTTTCCTCATCTGTAGGGTGAGCCATGAGGTCTTGGTCAGCTCCTAACATTCCGTGTCTCGGGCTGGGGCTGAACCTGCAAACCGTCACCCTCGGCCAGCCCTTCCTCGTGGTCCCCCAGCTGCTGGTCTGCGGCCGCCTGGCTCCTAGCGCATCCTGGTGGTGGCAATGGCCTGAGCACACCCAGGCCCCCTTAGCTCCGTCCCAAGTCTAGTCTTAGGACATCTGTGTATTAAATATACATAGACTATTCTTGTCACCCTGAAGGATGCAACTTCTGGATTCTTCTCTTTCAAATGCATCCCGTCTTCTTGCTTTCTCTAATTCCCCATACCCAACGTGAGCAGTGAGGGCTGGGGTGAGGGTCCTAGAGGCCAAAATTGGTGGGGGGGAGGCAAGATGGCTCTCTTATGGCTGTAAAGTTCATTCATGATGCCCAGGCCTCGGCTTGGGGGCAGTATCCTGGGCTGTGGGAGCTGGAAACTCAGATGCATCACCAGCGGCCCTCAGGAAGGCTGCAGACTGGGGTGTGTGCAGGGCACACGGTCTCTCTCTTTCCC